TGAAATACATTGCATGATCAAAAAAAAAAAAAAAAAAAAAAAAAAAAAACACCATGGCGTATTTGAGCCTAATTTCAGTGTGTGGCTGCTGTCCCGCTCTTAATTGATCACTTTGTGACAGCGAGGCTCAAACCTTATGACCTCTAGAGCCAAAGTATATAAAATCATAATAGTTGCAGCGTATTAACAAAAAGTGTGTCTACTAATCTATTTGTTATATCTTCAACATGTCATAAATATATAATTTCTAAGAGAAATGTACAGTAATAAGTAAGGCCCTATAAACTAATCGCTTCACTTTATGTATCATCCTAAACATACACTTTTGCTTTTTTATAAGAACCAGTATTTTTGTTTTCTTATCTTTACACACTTTCCAAACATCAAAAATTACTATTTTGCAGCTGTATATTACTGTACTGTAATAAAGAGGGTATTGTAAAGTATTACATCACACCATACCGCACATAATGTAAAGATAAAATTTGTTGGATTACTATTTATTTAAAAAAAAAATGAAGAAAAAAAAAACTCAGTTGACATTTTGACTCAGCCTCAATTTATTTTTATTTTGTTCTTAATTATTAAGCAATTTCAATCTCAGTGTTCTTATAAAAAGAAGTGTACCCTACCAAATTTCAACAAACTATGACTATTAAAGTTAAGCATAGACACAGTGAAGTCATAACGTTCACCACCAAATTTGGCCGAGCGAGTCAAATGACCGAGAGGTTAGCAGGGTCACCGCTAGCTACAGCAATAATATCGGCGCTGGTTCAAACAGAACGCTCGCATAACATGATTGGTGGTAGAAGAAGTCTTCTCGGTTAAGGACTAAACCGTAGGCCCAGTGTATACAATGTCTGTTGTGCCATTTCGGTATTTTATAGCAGACAATTTTCTTTCTTAATACTGTATGTTCTTTATTTTCATTTTGATGACGTCATCATGTTAAAATGAATGTTTTTTCTGACCCACTAATATTGTTATTAGGCCTTATTATTATTATTATTATTATTATTATTATTATTGATTTTACTCTACCGTTTGCTCTTTTAAGACTTTAGCACATCATTTTTATTCGAAAATTGATATAAGTTATAGCCAAACAATGAATTCAAAAATTCTATTATTAAGCAATGCCGTTTGTTGGAGACGCTTTTTGTGACGAGTTTTGTCTGTCGTATAATGCGATCCCTTGCTTTTCGATCGTAAATTGCTATTTTAAGCCTCGTCTTATACGCGAGTGTTTGGGTAAAAAGGTGTTTAGTTTACAATTTGTTATTGTGTCCACACGTCAGCATACTGTTTTATACTGCACAGTGTGCTGCATTTTGTACAACGGTGACGACAAGAATCGGCAAACTGGGTTTCGGCAAACTGGGTTCTCATGTTTTCGGTAAACTAAATTCGGCAAACTGGTTTTCGGCAAAGTGGACATAAACTCGGCAAACCGGGTTTCAACAAACTGGATTTCGACAAACTGGTGGGATACCGTGAGGACTGCCACTGAAAGAGACTTCTTGGCAGTGGTGGCGCCAGAGGGGCTGGGGTGCTATAGCCCTCCTGTCGGGGAAGGTTAGCCCCCCCGTCGGAGAAGACGATAAATTTTGTCGGGGAAGAAACAAATAAAAAAAATATTTACATGTAATATTCGTTTAGCCACCATATCGTTTGTGTTAACTTTTCATCACAACAACAACCACAATAATAATAATAATAATAATAATAAAAATAATAATAATTCAATGAGACTAATTAAACATAATTTGCGTTCTGTTATGACAAATGCTCATTTAGATAGCCTCATGTTGGTTGGAATACATCGTGATAAGCAACCTCGACCATGAAAACGTGGTTGACAGATTTCATGCAAAATTTCCAAAATATATAATTTCACTTTCAAGAATGAGGATTTGAAAATAAATTAGATGGTTACATTGCATACTATTTGTTCTTTGCTTTATTCAAAATGTTTTGGCTTTGGAAGCTGATTTCAACATTAAAAAAGCATAGCCTACATGAAGTCATATTATAGTAACTCGATGCCTATTAAAATAAGTAATAAAAATTCGCCATAATTCATCAAATATCCGTGGCATCCATGGGGCTTCGCCCCCTGCACCCCCACCGGGGGCACTAGGCGGCCCCTGGTCCCCAGCCAAGTGAGACTCGATTCGCTCCACTAGCCCCCCCCCCTGTCGCGGCCTTTAGCCCCTCCGTCGGGCAGGTCCTAGCGCCACCACTGCTTCTTGGTCTGTAGGCATTAGTACAATCTATATTTTAAAATTGAAAAGAAAGTCTTTTCTCTCTTCGACGGAGTCAAGTGTCAAGCTTTAACCTGATGACCAGACTATCTGTTGTCTGGTCATACTAGACCTCTGCTATTGCGCAATGGAGAGTGAACTGCCATCAACCTGATGCATCAAGCAGCAATGAAAATGTGAGAATGCCTTCCGCCGGAGTGATCAAGCAGCTTGATGACAGGATGAGAACTACCGTTAATCTTATGCATCAATCAGCTGAGTGAGATCTGCTATCAATCTGATGCATCGGGCAGCTACAGAGATACAGTACCATTTATCTTACATTGATATTTATCTCATGTTTCATGTTTATTTCAGGGGAACTAATCAAAAGGAGGACTACCACCATGCAAATGGTGTTGATATTCGCGATTTTAAAATTGAAAAGAAAGTCTTTTCTCTCTTCGACGGAGTCAAGTGTCAAGCTTTAACCTGATGACCAGACTATCTGTTGTCTGGTCATACTAGACCTCTGCTATTGCGCAATGGAGAGTGAACTGCCATCAACCTGATGCATCAAGCAGCAATGAAAATGTGAGAATGCCTTCCGCCGGAGTGATCAAGCAGCTTGATGACAGGATGAGAACTACCGTTAATCTTATGCATCAATCAGCTGAGTGAGATCTGCTATCAATCTGATGCATCGGGCAGCTACAGAGATACAGTACCATTTATCTTACATTGATATTTATCTCATGTTTCATGTTTATTTCAGGGGAACTAATCAAAAGGAGGACTACCACCATGCAAATGGTGTTGATATTCGCGACAGTGGCAAGGTAGTCTCCTGGTGTCAACGGTTCAAACTCTTCCATGAATCTCCAAAAATTAAGTTCATATACAACCTGGTGCGTTAAACAATATTTTAATAACCAATTTGCTCACTATATCGTAGTCAAAATAATACTCAAAAACTATGATTAACACAAAAGCATGCAAGAAAATCAAGCTGGTTTAATTTGTTTAATAAGTAATAGAGGTTGATTTCTTTTTCATTTAATCACAAGTTAGTTGATATCATTTCTAATTTTTGCATTTTATCGTTTCAGATATGTAACTTTTTATTCCTAGCGCTTTTCAGCTACATCATGTTATTCAATTTCAACAAAGAAACGTCAGTTGCTGAATATATTCTTCTATTCTGGGTGATAACGCTGTTCATGGAGGAGTTCCGACAGGTTAGTTAGGCTGTCAATAAATATTCACAAACATAGCAAGGGAAATGGAGGTAGCATGTAAATTATTAAAGGAAAGATACTTCCATAGATATGGAGGTCTTTGTGTTCCTGGCTCTCTTTATTCAACTCTCCTTGTGAAATAAGTTAAGCATAGGCCTACATACCTTTTGAAAATTCTTTCTATACCTTTGGTTGTAGAATGGTTGCTACATAGAGAGCTTTCATATCTCGTTCTAGAACTAATCCGCTGAGAAAAGAGCATATTTTTGTGTATGACGTCACCAGTCTAGGCCAGTTTTAAGAAAAAATGTGATGTGCCCATATATGGGTACGATAACGTCATATCACATATCATCAAATTGTGTTCAACTCTATGTTCCATCAAATTTTATGTGTTGCTTTTTTGATGAAACTTGACAGTGCAGACAAAGCTTTAGTTTTCTCGGACACCCGAGATTCAGCCGCTGGATGGCGATGAGATGAATCGAGAACCATGGGACTCATGAATTAACTTTCATTGAAATCTTATTATATTCTATACTACCTTGAGAAAATCATCATAGTTAATACTGATTGCAAATTCACTCAAAATTTGTCGCAGATGTTCACATAATCAATGTAGAGGCCTATTTTGTCCTAGGCTAGGCTCTGTTCATTCCGTACCATTAAATTAGCCATCGTGCTACCACCACGGCCCAAACGCCGCCACAGCTGTAGCTACATACTGTGCTGCAATAATACCCCATTCAGGTTCAGACTAGCAATTGCGACACCCAATCGCACAAGGGGGAGATTTTTTTCCCCGAACGAAACATTTGCATGAAACTCCACTCGGGCCGTCTCGGATTGACTCGACTCGGTTTCGTTAAGAGCAGGCGCTTCACAATGTCGTGACGCTCGAGTATTCTTCATTACTGTATTGTTCTTTGTTTAGCTACGATAGGCCTATTAAATCTATGACTTCATGTATGACTATGCTTTCTAATGTTGAAATCAGCTTCCAAAACCAACAAATTTTTGTTGTTGTTGTTGTTGTTGTGACGAAAAGTTAACACAAACAATATGGTTAAACGAATATTACATGTAAATATTTTTTTTTTTATGTTTGTTCCCCGACAAAATTTATCG